GATCCACTTTCACTAAAAATCTTTATAGCAGTATTGGGACACATCATTCAAGGCTTAAAATTGATAAATTAAGGTATTTATATAAAAGGAAATTACTTCAGTCATCTTAGATTTGCGGATGATAATTTCCGAGTCGGCAAAACAGATAGAGTCGATGTCGATGGTAAACGAGCTAAATATTGCCAGTCAGAATGTAGGTCTAGAACTAAACACTATTAAAACCAAAATAATGGCGAATAGATCCCAAATACCTGTAATTGTGAACAACATTCTATTAGAATATGTAGACAAATGTGTACAGTGTGACAAATGTGTATCTCGGCAAACTAATATCATTCCGAAAACCGAGACACGTTAACGAAACCCAAAGAGGAATAATAACAAGTTGGGGAAAATACTGAATCTACAAGGAGATCCTAAAATCGACTCTCCATATATAATATCTATCCAAAAATAAGATATTAGACTCTAGTATACTGCCCTACCTCACTTATGGATGCTAAACCTGAATATTTAATGAACATAACAATGACAACATTGCGATATGTCAAAGAAGGATGGACTCTCGACATAAAATTAAAAAACAGAGTACAAAACTCGGAATTAAGGAAAAAAACAGAAGTAGTAGATGTTCTCTTATCACGGTCAAAGGTTGAAATGGCGATGTGCAGGACATTTAGCATGCATTCCAAACCCAAGATGGACAAAATCGGTGACAGAGTGGCAAGGTCCATCTGCCCGTGCCCGTTTACTGAGCATTTATTTATTATACTACTTGAGTATTTTGTACTGGCGTTGTAGAAGTAATCAACCAAAATGTTTGAACAATTCGTCTAAACCCTAATTTACCTAACGCCAAAAAATAATGCTGCTGTTCGTATTTTTTCAATTGACCAAAACAACCGTCTTAATGTAACACTAGAAAAAAATATTTCGTTTTTACTACTAAATAATAGGTTAAAAAAAACGTTTTTTAAACCTATAACAAAACAAGAAAATGTAAGCGAAAAATGTTATATAAGTGGCGGTTAAGTTCTAACTGAAAGAAAAGCGTCATCTTTATCATTTCACAAGTCCATTGGGGAACATAGACTATAGAACATAGAAGGAATGTCACAAAACACGACCTTGAGCCATCGGCGTCTATCGATTGTCCGCATGTGCTACCATGTCGATACTGTATCTAGTGGGGATGCTGTGCTACAGGCCGATTACCGGCACGAGGCTGCTACTTGAGAACATAGCTTCCATATTTGTTGTCGGTTCTTTCACCAATACGGCTGGCCTATTCCTACTGACGCTTACTGATCCCTCGAGTTATGTGAGTTACTCTGCGGATATCCTCATTACGAACTCTATCATGCAGACAAACTCCAAACATAGCCCTCTCCATAGCTCGCTGAACGACCTAAAGTTCCCTCATACGTCCTGTAATAAAGATTTCCATCTCAGATAGCGTTTCCCCAAAATATGCCATCACTGAAAACATGCATTTGTACACATTTTGGTTTTCGATTTTTGAGAAATACGTAGTGAGAAGTTATGCTATAATCTCTTGAACGCCAATTGTCCTCTCGGAGGAAGTTAGATTCCCAGTTGGACAATTTTTCTTAGGTAAGCATAATCGTCAACAGCTTTGAGCGTAGCCTTCTCAACAACTACCGAAATAGTTGTGACATGGGCGATACGCATGTATAAATCTTTGTAGAATGGTATATTTTATTTAATAATTAACGATATAAGTTTTTTTTGCTTCAGTTTTAACCGTTACACATATTGCATAATTACAACTTGACGGCAAGAAATATTTATGCACTAATTTATTTAATTAAACAAAAATTGATAAATGAACCTTCACGCGTAAGTTTTTTTGAAATAATGCATTAATAGAGATACTAATTTGATTTGCTGCTCAAATATGTATGCGACATCGCTAATGTGTGCTCACGTATATGCCTCGTAAGCGAATAAAACGTAAAGTTATGAAAGCGGTAATAAATGATACGTTGATGTTCAAAAAGGGGTTTCGTGAATATATTTTTTCATCCAAAGTATTGAATAGGTACCCTGCTAATGAAAGTAAACGAAACAAATTTCTTTTTATATGCACTGTCATTTCCCATTTCGTAACACAATATACTTGTAACTTGGTAGGTCGTCAGAAGCTCTTTTGTTCTAAGTACACACAGTCTTAAAGAGTACCATTACAAGAATTTTTTTTATTTTTCTTTTCTTTTCATCACAAAAACGTTAGCACCCAGTTAGGATTAAAGTTAGTAAAAATTACCTTGCGTAAATTGCCACATTTCTGTAGCAAAAATTTACTTTGTTACTCTTTCCTTATTTTTTCGTGGAATATGAGTTTGTGATCGTTATTTTAATAGTTAAGGGCTCGGCAGCATATTTACTAACTTTTTCAGTATGGTACAAGCGCTGGTTTTATCCTCGCAAGTCAAAATTTTACTATTTTACTTTGCAAATATTTTAAAATGTAAAACATTGTTACGATACCGAGGAATTCCTAGTTTAGTAATTAATAAAATCAGGCGTTACTTTGCGGAAATGCATTATATTAAAGTTAATTAAAATTACCTTGCATACATCCGCTTAATAAAATAAAATGATGTGTCTTACCTAGTTTGAAGAGCACCTCCCGCCCTCCCCCAATTAGGTGCAATATTACTCCCAACATCACTACACTAGGAAAGACACATCACCGACGATAATACGACACGTGTTCCGTTTCTACACGAGGCATCTTCAGGTGAAGCAGACTCTGCGGTCAGACATTCACTTATGACCCAAGTCACTAGAGCATTGAATTTGCGGTACTAATCATTGATTGATGTGTACTCATAAAAAAATAAGATGAATAAAAAAACGATTATTTTTGACACGTAGAAGGAAAAAATAACGAATGAGTTACAAAGTAAATTTTTGCTACAGATTGTAGCAGAGTCGACAAAGGACGCCCCTGACGGTGATTTATCGACAATTAATCAAAAAATTGGCGATTTATTGAAGATATGCATAATTAAGAGTATACTTCCTAAACGGGAATTATGTATGCTTATTATAGGATGTGAAAGCAGCGAAAAAGTTGTGCCAGTATCGTGTCTTGTCTCTGCCTAACCTTCTGGATAATAGGCGTTAGAGTTTATGTTTTATTAATGTATACAAATTAATTATCCTCGTAGTTTTTTATTAAATTAATAACTTATTAAAGAAAATCCACTACATTTCAAAAGATTCTTACGTGGTAGAACCATGCTGCAGTTATATGAGTAGTATAGTTGTAGCACGAAATTGGTCGGCTCGACCGGGGAAGGACCACGCTCTTACAGATACCAGCGTAAAATAGTATCGTAATGTTGCTGTGTTTCGTATGGTGAGTGTAGAGGACCGGAGATCCTTTTTACTGGAAACGAGGCATTCCATCTTAGTCCTCACGGGTGACAACGCATCTGCATTTTGATTCGTAATTGAGGATAGATGTAGATGTCTATGGGCCACAGCAACCACTTGCCATCGAGTGGACTGTGTGCTCGTTGGCACCCTATCCTATAAAAAAAGATACAAATATTTAAATTACGCTTTCACGTATCAATTACGTCGTTTTATTTGTATTTAATTTATCGAAGTTTTTCATTGAAGTAACATTATTTGTTTTCGAAGATGGCAATTTTATAATATTTTCTTAAAATCATCCAAACAGTAAACAGACTTCTTTCTAGGTATTATTCTCGATTCCAGTAAAACTGGTCTCCGGTTCTCTACACTCACCATACGAAACACATTAACATTAAGCTGTTATTTTACGCTGGTACTCTGTGAGAGCGTGATCCTCCCCCAGTCGAGCCGATCCATTCGTGCCACAACCATAATATAGCTATTATTAGGCGAACAATAGTGTCTCATAGGCATCATCTCCATTACAATCTTCACTACTGAAAATAGGATTTTTCTTGAGGAATTCCATAGAACACGGTCCAGACACATTCATTCATCGCCTCCCTGCATATCTTAACATATCGTCACTCCATCTAGCCGTTTTACACTTTGCTTACCGGTACGACGCTACCACTTGAGAACCTTTTTTCCCCATAGGTTGTAGGTTCTTCGAGTTATATGGCCGGCTACTATAGACATTACGACAAAATCTTTGGGAGGACTCGAACCCAACGGATAAATCTTACGATAAATATCGATAAAACAAAGGTCATCTCTAAAGTCGAGAAGTCTACTAGTCTCCTAGAAGAAATAGTAAAATAGTCCATTAATAGATCCGATTCGGTCAGGCAGCCTTTAGGGGATTGCATATATGCCCTCGTCACGCAATCCCAAAAATTTTAAATAAGGGTGATCAATGCGTGTTGCCCAGTGATGAAGATATATATATATATATATATATATATATATATATATATATATATATATATTTATATTTGAGACGTAGTCCTTCTCTGCCGGCGTTAAAGGCCACTCAAGCCTACAAATAGGGCTATGATTGTTTTGTGTGATAGAATTAGTAATGAGGATATCCGCAGTAGAACCAGAGTAACTATCATAGCATATCAGCAAGCAGAATATTATTTTATATCACCTTATTTTATTGGCTGATAGCCACAATATTTTAGTTTGTTAAATCTAGATACGTTGGAAACGGTGCCAAGTTATACACAGAAAATGATTGAATACTTCCTTGTTAAACCGGAGGAAAATGGAAATGATAATTCAATTTATATTGCTCGCTGCCGTAGAATAACTTTGCAAAACAATACAATATTTTATTTGCTGACTACGATTAAAATTTGATTGGATCGTGGCTTTATACATTAGCATTTAATGGGATATACATAATAATGATCGGTAATAATTGTTTATCCATAATGGTGTGGTCCATTTTATGCGGAGAGTTCGCAAACTATGTTTGTGTATTTGGGATAGGGGAGTGTGGAGTGTGGGAAGAGTAGGAAAGTTGTATATTAATTTGTACTTACTCCAGGCCGGTGCAGGCACGATGAGGCCAGAAATCATGTCATCGGAGATGACGGGCGGCTCACTAGGCGGCGGTGGGCATACTAGGGAATCAATAATATCATCAGTGGCTGCGCGCATCACGCCGCTCAGCTCCGGTGGTTCCGTCCGTGACGATCTAATTTTAAAAATTATTTAAATGTTAGTATTTATCGTATATTATATTATATCTACTTCTTCTCCTTCTTAACCAGTTATTCATCTACCGGTAGCTATGGGCTTTTTCTATTATAGGAATTCAACCATTCGTAATCGCAAAGTTTAGCAGGTGAATAGGTGATCACAATTTAAGATGTCTCGCACCTTTGACGCTGTTTTAAATCTGACGTATACAGGAAGAAGATACAAACAATTATCACCCCATTTTACCAAGCTTTCTGATATTTTACTTAGTCAAGGTTTGTATTATCTACGATCACGTTTGTGATAGACTCGCTTATATTGTTGTCATAGGGCTAATATACTATTGAATTGAATTGAATTAATTATGGAAACCCAAGCTGATGTTAGCACCAAGTATTCTTCTCTAATGAAATTACGATTTTTTTTAATTTCGAAAGTCAGGCAAATCATCCTAGGTAGGAATCGGTGACTTTTAGGGAGGATTTGTGATGTTGATAGTCTCAATCGCCACGCAGAGCCCCTTGATGGTCAATCGCAATACCAGACGTCTTAAACCTTTGACATCTAGCACAAAACAGATGGTAACACCGCAATATATTGCAAGCTATAAGATTTTTCTAGATCTATCAATAGTCACAACTTAAGCCTTATCCACAGGACGAGATAGGGTGACGGATTCTCTCATGCCGCTACCACACTTCATATTAAAAAATAAGTAGAAATAAACACATATATTTCTAAATGATACTTTTTTCATAAATAATCAGTTGAATATGAACAACAACTTTCTTAATCCCTTACATACACGTATTTAGAATGTCTGTTATTTTTACTCTAACCTTGAGAGCAGAGACTGGACTTCATCGGATAGAAATTTAGGTTATTTTAGTACGTTGTAGCTCTCATCTATAGTAACAGAAGGCGACTGACTTGCCTATACTCGCACTGCTCAGGTTAAATAACTCAACAAATAGGGAAATAATCGAGCAAAAATTTTTTTATAGTAAAAAGGAAAATAAAAGAAAATGGTTTTCCATATTTGTGCCCACAGTTGAACCGCTCAGCTAATACTTTTTAACTTGCGTCCATGTCTTGATTTCGAACACTCTGTCCGATAACGAATTTGTTAAATTGTGATATCAAAACAATAGGAAAAAAACAGGGAACAAATAAATCAAGGTACAGGTAGTTTCAATTCTTGTCAAAACAGCCTTTTTTCAATTTTAATTTACACAATTGCTCCTTCCGTCCGATTACAATCTGGATATTTTTAAGGTAAGAGTTATTAGGCTTTTGTTACTCAAAACCAGTGAGATTTACCATGTAGACCTTCATAACCACTTACCACCAGAGATTGTAGTCAATCACTATCTTATAATAAGTAAAAAAGGATGTTGGCGTAAAGTAATTGTTTGGTGTCAATGTTTAGTGCTGTATTTTTGAAAAGATGTTACAGGTTAGCAGATTTTAAAAATGTATCAATCGTATATTAGGCTCAGGGACAGCTGTGATACGAAAGTGATAAACAAGTCTTCTAAATTACTTTAAATATTTACTTATATAATTAACATATTTTACACTACAGCTTTACAACTTATATTACATAAAATTACATTTAGCGAATGTCGACTGTGGTCATTACATAAACATATAAGGGAGAAATAAGGAAGGGTATCTCTTTCTTTCCTTCTCTTTCCTAATAAATCTATTTTAAAGTTAGAAAAAATTGAGCAACTTGGACAAACCAATTTTTATTATTAAAATATTGAATAAGAGAATATGTATATTAAATCTCCGATCCGTTGCCACAAACTTACCGTCGACAAAAAGGAGCACTATTCTCTCGGCCGACCTACACGGGGCGGTTTTATCATGAAAATAGACAAAACAGTTCCGAAATAATACATGATGTCGAGTATGAATATACTGTGACTATTTTGTTAGGGGGTATTAATTCACGCGGCGAGTAGACGTCAGAAGGCTCAATTGCGGGCACTCACAATAGGCTATGTGGTATAGCGCCGAGCGACCGAACAGGCAGGTGGCGGTCGGCGAGGGCCGCAGGGCGAGGGGGTATGTAGGTCGCATCGAGCGCTTCAGTAAACTTGTTGCGGTCGCAAAAGGTCAGGTGTATGAGGGCGGGAAATGCCTATGAAGGCCTTCCACTACGACTTGGTATGACGTGCTTCGCGCCGCACTTTAACTTCCGTTTTATTAAGCGCCAACCGCTCGGTTTCCTGTTTTAACACGACTTTAAAGTCGAAGCAGTGTAAAAATTAAAATATTTTTTCCTGGAAAATTCGCATCTGCTTCTCTAAACTATTTGAAACGATGCCTTTGCCGCAGCTTAGTGATTAATGATAGGAAGTAAGTTGATCGGCTTTCGGCAACAATTGATGGGTGTATAGCGAAAAATTATTTCAAAACGTACCTCATCATCATGACAAGAGAAAGTTCCTCCTGCAATACGCTCTCCAAGTACATCATATCTAGATCAGATACTATTGCTCCGTTGATCACCATTATCTCGTCGCCTTTGATTATTCCTGACAAAGAAGACAATAATTGAAAATTGAAGGTTTTATTGATTTTTTTGTTAAATAAAAGCAGACAGACGCTAATTATTTAAAAAATTGTGTTAATTATAAAACTGATTATAAATAAATATAGATACCGATCTGAATCTGATCACTAACTTAAAAAACAATTGTAGAGTTAGATAAATACCGTTTTGCATAGCGACGCTCTTATCTTCGACACGACTAACGTAGCAACAAAGCTCATCTTGCCTCTCTGCATTTTCTATGAGCTCTGCTTCAACGCTGAAACCCCACATCTGCTCGAGCGTGTTCCGTTGCAATTCTACTTGATATAGGATTTTCGCACACACTTCAACTACTTCATGTGTGTGTAACTATATGATAGAAACAAAATCATTTAATAAATCATTAAAATTTATCTTCGTAGAGACATACAAAAGTTCATAATTTATAATAAACCTAGCGATCCACCCCGGCTTTGCACGAGTGAATTCTGAATCTCGACAATAGCGCCACCTACCGGGTCCAAATGTGAATATACAATATCTATGAACCTATTCAAACACACAAAAAATTTCATCAAAATCGGTTGGATAGTTTCATTCTATAACGGACATAGAATTTTTTTTGTGTTTTATATAGATACAATAAAATTTAGTTTTTGTAAAAAGGAAGGATGGCATATTGTAATAAGGCCTATGGACATATTTAGCATGATTTAAACTTAAAACGCAGATGTCACCCTGAGTCCCAAAAGTCTTCAGTTCTAGTACCGAAAGACAAGGACATTATGCAGCTTTTAGTCAGGCAGCAATTTTTTGCAGGTATCTGTACCAGTAGTACTGATTCGCGGTACTACTGTTACAGATGCGGTCGTAGTCTTTCCCCAGTCGTGTATACCTATTTATATTGTATAATTTGCTGCAGAGTGGCTTTATCACGCAAAGTTCATCAGCTCTGCCTGAACTGCGTCTCATTGTTGCTGCGCTTAGTTATGGTATTTTATTTTACTTGTTGCGTCGTATCGTATTATATTCTAAGCCACAATTCACTTCTTATTCTACATCGGTTCGTAAAAGCGCACTGCTGATCAGAGGTCACGCACACATACAAGGATTGCAATTATTAGGGTAGTTATAAAGTTCTCCTGAATTATTATGATCTTGGAAATTATTTCAGAATACTGTTGGAATCTATCAATTGCGCAGGAAACACGCAGGTACTCACTCGCATTAGCAATTGTTGTGGAGCTGCTGTTGGAAATTAAACCAAGGTTGTTTATGTACTGTGAATCTTAAGACAAGCGCCGCCCTACTGCTGCTCTACTACAGCTTTTGTTTTAAATTTCTCATAACATTTTGTCATTGATCATACTAAACAGTTTATAAACAGTTAGTAATGAGAAAATTTAAATCCTAACCTACGAGCTTAAAATTTTGGGTGCAATTTGAAACCTTTAATATTATTCAACAATAACATATTATATAATAAATGAATAGATTTAGAAAAAACTCTGAGTGGCTCTCCACTCTTAATTATGATGCTGTGGAAGACATTTTTTTGAGAAAGAGGTGAATCTGTTTTAAATAACACACACTAACACAACACAAATCAGCAGGTAATGTGACAAATTCATAAACTTGCACACATAAACACCTACTCACACCCGCGCATACACACACACACACACACACACACACACACGCACGCACACACACACACACACACACACACACACACACACACACACGCATCATAAACTTTCATACTACGGACTCAACTACTCAGATATACATTTCTCCTAAGCTTCTTTCTTTATTTTTAAACTGCATCAATAAATGTACTATTAAGTTTAAAATTTTGATATTTTGATGTAAATCTAAGTTGTTTATGATTACGTAAGAAGAGCGAGACTCTCCCAACACAAGTATCTTGTGATTACTTTCTGGAAGACCTCGGCAAACTAATTGTAAAAGATTTACTGATATAAAACATTTTTAATTTTTATTTATTATATTTATTATTAACCATTACCGTTACAACCTATTAAAGTCCACTGCTGAATATAGGCCTCCGCCAAAGATTAACTCTTAGGGAGATATTTGCCATAGTTGCCAAGCTTGGCATGCAGGTTGGCAACCACAGTTTTTTATTTTTAGTCGTTATTAGGAAGACGCTGCTGTCCATCTCGTGATTTGTTTCCCTCAGTCGTCTCTTACGACACCCACGGGATGATTTGGGGCAGTCGATATTCTTAAACCGCCACTACACGGTTATATAATAATGTAGTAATAATAACTTTACTATGCTAGTAACTAATGACTACGTGCTACGGCACACTTCTTATAAAATACTCCAATCTATTTGTGCAAACTCGATGTGAGCTACAAGTAAGATCACAAGTTTCGATTACTTCGCTCTTAGTGTAATTAAGTACATTGTGTTCCAAGAAAATGGGTCCCTGAAGTCGACAATAATTACTGGAGGATATCATTAAGAAGTACATACTTAATTGTTACGGACGGTAAAATTGCGCCTGTCGTCGGTAATTAGTTCATTCACAAAATATGTCTTGTTAAAAAGAACCAGGATGTTCAAAATTACCAATCTAGGTACTGTGAAAAAATTTAAAGTACTTTTAGTTTTAAAATACGATAGCAAACTGGGAAAATACACTTTTTTAACCACTGAATGCTTATTTCATTGCAGTGTTTTTATTCGTAAAAACACTTGTAAATTTCCGTTCCGGCTCTTAATGGATTTTTAGTTTTATTACTTTTAAAGCAATCTGCTTGAAATTTACTGATTAAGTCAGTATTTGAGTACAGGTGTACAAAAAATAATGTTGATGGTTTTTTATTATTGTTGTAAATAACGAAGATTTGTGATTTTTAGCCATCTGAGGTCATACGCGACTTCCACAGTAATCGAAAATCCATCTAAGTATTGATCCCACACATGTGACCATATTCTCCGAAATATGAAAATTATTTATTTTTCATAAAATATTTATTGAATAAATTCTTTTTCTTCTAATGCTCACTCGCTTGGCTCCATAAAAAGATATTTATTTATTATAGTGTTACTAAAGATCACTAAATAAAAACTAAATTAATTAAAAATAGGCACTAAACCAAACAAAATGCATATAAGTACAAGAAATAACAACTATTTTACTGCATACTCGTAATACTATGTGTATATTAAGCAATATACACATAATATGAATAATAAATATTCAATCATGGCGTCACATTATTTTCTGGTCGCATGCATGTTGCACTGAGTTTCGTCACTAAAAATAAGTGCAAGTCGCTTACATTGCAGTCTTCGTAGCCACTAAAGTAGTTATCACAGATAATGACAAGTTGTTGTTTTTATTTAGTAACCAATCCTAGCGATTGCAGAATATTACAATATGGATGTTTAAATAGCAGTGCCCTGTTTGATAGGTCTCTGTGATGTAAGGGGAATTTGCCTTAAAAGTCACGCTTGGAGGTAAATAGCAACACCAGATGGCTTGCAATTTTACATTACTGTTTGTTGCTGGTCAGGGTATTTTTTATTTATGTCGAAAAAAAAATTATATCATTATCAAAAAGCGATTTTTTGGTATTTCCTAATAGTTCAATGACAATAAAAAGAATACAATAGAATCTCTAATAGAAATAAACAATAGAATCTCTAATAGAAATAAAGAAGAATACAATAGAATCTCTAATAGAATCTAGAATAGAAAATCTGAAGGACGATGTTAATCGTCTTTATTGCGTATTGTAACTCAGTAAGACCATCACAATTAACTGCAGTCCGAAGAAAAAAATAGCAGACAATATTTTCCAGAAGAAATATCAGTCACGGTGGCCAGTCTCAACGGAGAAGCGCCATCTGTGCAGGATAGAATTCTAGTTCACGAGTGTGTGATTCATTAAAGATGCACTCTACATTCTCCGGCTCTTATAGTACAATAGGATGGCAATTCGACACAAAGCGCGGCTCTGACCACCTGCATTCATTGACTTTCTGCATTTCCTGCATCTTTTACCAGGTCATCCCTTCACTTCACTTACCGATACTTCACTCGAAAACCTTTCTTCCCCGTCAATTCTCGCTTCTTCAACCTATATGGCCAGCCTGTTGCTATGTCAGCTTACTGATCTGATGAGATTACTCTGGATCTACTGCGGATATCCTTATTACGAAGTGTATCACGCAGAGAAACTACGAGCATAGCCCTCCCGATCCCGATCCCGATTTCCCGATCGCTACCTAGTCGAGTTGGATCCGTCGATTAATTTCTAGGTCGAAGTTGGAATTATCTTGTCGGTAAATTTATTCCAGGTAAACATACTCGCCGATTACTTCAAGTGAAGTGCTCCTAAATACTACCGGCATAGGTGTTTTTATATAAGGGGAAGAAAACGAGCAAACAGCCACATGAAAACCGTAAAGCAGGGGAAGTGCAGGTGCGATGCTGGCCATTTGAAAAAGAGTAGGCTCTTTTCATGAAGGTCCCTAAGTCGTGTCGGTCCAGAAAATCGCCGATGTTAGTCGATCCCACAAGGGAATTCTGCGCAAAAGAATACTTCTAGTAAATCGCATAGTGAGGGTATCGCGAGTGTTGTCGCGATGTGCGGGGGTGAAACTTAGCGACTGGAATTTGTCTGAAGAATTCATCTGAGCACTCCCCGTGGTAGATGCGATTGAATAGCAAAGGATGTATCATCTCTTCGCAGTGCCAGTGCAAATTATTTTATTTTTGACTTCATTGTTTACAATACAATACAATACAATATATTTATTTGCATTCCATAATGTAGAAATTAATAATATTCAATTTTCACAATATGGGAGGACGCAAAAATGTTTTATTTATTATTCATTATAATTATTATATTATTCATCATATTTATATTATTCCTTATTATTATACTATCATTATTCGTGTTATTCATTCATTTATTTATAGTTTTCATTATCATTATTTCATTATTTTATTATAATAATGCTATAGCTAAGTTATTCAATTGGTTTAATGTTAATAATTTGCATTTGAATGGAACTAAAACTAAATGTATGAAATTCGTAACTCCTAATGTTAAACATGTCAATACTAATGTAATTTTAAATGGGGAGGAACTGAGTCTTGTTGATACCACCATTTTTCTTGGAATCACACTGGACGCAAAGCTTCAATGGCTCCCCCATATATCAAAACTAGCTAGCAGACTTAGTTCTGCAGCATATGCTGTAAAAAAGATTAGAACTCTTACCAGTGTTGAAACAGCTAGAATAGTTTACTTCAGTTATTTCCATAGCATTATGTCGTATGGTATTTTGCTATGGGGACACGCGACTGACACTGAAATTATATTTATTTTACAGAAGAGGGCCATTAGAGCAATATATAATTTAAAACCAAAAGAGTCACTGAGACAAAAATTTAAAGAAATTAATATATTAACTCTGGCCTCTCAATACATTTATGAAAATGTAATGTACGTACACAAAAATAAAAGTAGTTTTGCGAAAATAAGTGATATTCATTCTGTAAATACTAGGAACAGACACAAGCTGGTAGTACCAGTTACTCGACTCCACCGAGTCAGTAATTCATTCTTGGGGCGATGTATACGCTTTTACAACAAAATCCCAGAAAATATACAAAATTTGTCATACACAAAGTTCAAAAATGTTATTAAACTAAGTTTGTATAAAAAGGGTTATTATAATATTAAGGAATTTATAGATGATAATAACCCCTGGGAAGGGTGATCGCTACCAAGCTATTTCTAATTTGTCTTGTGTTGTTGATTGTAAACATGATTGTAAGCTATTATTGGGAAAAAAATAGTCCCGCTGGGTTTCTTGCTGGTTCTTCCCAGGACAGAGGTTTTTTTTTGCGAACCAGTGGTAAATTAAAAAAGTGACCTTCAATAAGTATTTTTATAATCTACATTGAATAAAAAAGTTTCTATTTCTATTTCTATTTCTATTTCTATTACATTTGTCATTCAGGTATTCATATAAAGTATAATAACATTTATTGATTAGAAACACTTTTAATTGTCTTATAAAAATATGATCATTTGTTTCGTTTTTTAATGAGTTTTGTAGTTTATTATAGACAGTTATTAACATTATGTAAGGGCCTGAGAAAATGAGCTTCATTTTAGAAGTTGGTAGCAATGATCTATTTCCGTGTCTTAAACTATAAGCCGTAATTTTAGTTTCTCTTTACGTAGGAATTAGGGTATTTTCGCACAAATTTGCATAATTCCAATATATACATACAAATTAAGGTAAGAAGTTTAAGTTTTTTAAAATGAGGACGACAACTTTCAGTTCTTTCTATGTTACACATACTGCGAATTAGTTTTTTCTGTAAGATGGAAGATGGTGGTTGCATCTGTACTGTTACTCCACGGGATAATACCGTACCTTAGCCACGCCTGTGCATAGGCATTGTAAGTAATTAACGGGGTCTGGAGGTCAGTTGTCTTTTTTATTTCACTTAGGGCATATACAAAACTAGACAATTTGTTACGAATTTTCTAAACGTGAGATTTCCAGTTGATGTGACTATCCAAAACTATGTCGAGTAGAGTGTGCTCATTTACTGTCTCGATTTTTGTATTTTTGTAAGAAAAATTAATTTTTATCGGCGTTATTTGATCGGGTAAAAAGGCAAAATTTTTGTTTTTTTGTAGTTTATTTCCAGGTTATGCTCTTTCATCAATTGGTCAGTATTTTCAAATATTTTTTATAATATATCATTTACGTTATTTACGTCACGACAAGGTGCTAAGATAGAGATATCGTCCGCAAACATAATACATGGGTTAACCGTAGTTTCACTGAGATTGTTAATATATATTAAAAATAATAAACATCCCAATACACTACCTTGGGGTATTGAAGCATTTACAAATATTTTATTTGATCTCACTTTTACTATTTTATTGTTATCAAAGTATTCTATTTCTACATATTGTTCTCTATCTTGTAAGTATGATTTGAACCATTCTAAACTAATCCCACGAACACCTATACTATTTAATTTATTAAGTAATATTTTATATTGTACCTTATCGTATGCTTTGATCATATCTAAGAGTATTCCTATTGCATATTGTTTAATATCTTTAGAATATCTTGTATATATTTATATACTGCTAGTATGGTAGATTGATTTTTACGGAAGCCGTTCTGAAATTCACTAAAGATTTTATATTTTTCGCAGAAATTATACACACGTTCGAACTCTGCTTTTTCAAAAACTTTTGAGATTGTAGGGAGTAAAGCTATGGGGCGATAATTATCGATGTCGGTTTTTGAATTTTTCTTATGGATGGGTATTATTAATGCCTTTTTTAACAAGTTTGGGAAAATGCCTTCTGCGAGAGATTGGTTGACTAGTTCACAAAGTGGTAGAGCTAACGCATCTGCGCAATGTTTTATTAAGGTTGGTGGTAATTCGTCTATCCCGAAGCTCATTTTATTTTTTAAATTTTGTATTATTTATATACCCCTTGGGGTCACTGGGCGGAGATACATAGAGTTATTTGACGCTTTTTGTGCAGTTCGACCACGTGCTGGCGGGTTACAATTTTTGCCTAACGAAGCATAGAACCTATTAAAAGTATTTGCTATTAAAATCGGGTCTGAAGTTAAAGTACTGTTTATTTTTAGTTTAAGGTTATCTTTTTCTTTTATAATATTTTTATTTGTTCTATCCTTTATTATATGCCACATTGTTTTGATTTTATTATTTGATCTTATAATTTTATTACTGTATTCTATTTTCTTTGATGTAATGACAGCTTTTTTTTAGTAATTTTTCATATTTTTATAATGTTGGATAAGTATTTCATTATTCGATTTTAATGCCAATACCTTTAGCATTCTTTTGTGTTTGCACGATTTTTTCAACCCTACGGTTAACCAACGTTTTTTATATCTTGGTTTAATTATAATTTTCTCTTTAGGTATACATTCATTCAGTATATACATATATTAGTTTATCGTTAAACTTTTTGTAGTTATAGTTAATATTTTTATTAGGTTCCAAAATTTCCGACCAATTACATGACTCTAATTTGGATTTAAAGTTTTGCATATTATGCAAAACAATTGAAATTTTCTTTTTTCTGTATACCATATATTTTGCTCGTTTTGCTTCTTTATTTCTATATCTATAATTGTGCTCATGTGCTTGGAAAGTCCAAATTATTCTATAGTTTTTAGTTTTAGGTTGAATTTTTGTTTCCTTTTGAAATTATGGTTTATGTCTTTTTTTATGCAGGTATTTGTTTTATTTATATAATTTAAGATATATTGTAACCGATTATAGAATGCGTCTTCCTCTCTTCCATTCCAATACACAGTTATAATTAAAATATTTTCTTCTGGTAGCTCCACTGCACACACTTCTATTATATATTCTATTGACATTTTGGCTATTTCTTCTCTTTCTACATATTTTAGAACATCTCTCAACAAGATACAAACTCCGCATCATTTAATTTATGTACTTCTCCATTCATGAAGAGACAATGAAGAATTTTGCAATATTTTAGAAATTTATAGCTAAGTTAAGACATTTTTTAAAATTATTATATGAAACATTTAAATTAAAAATAGTACAAAAATGTAAACAACTATACTTCTTATATTATGTATGAAAGCCGTGGTCAGCGACTAAGCGCTCTCTGATATTTTCATAGTACGCAAGTTTTGATCCCCGCCGCCTAATTAAACTGTTAAATGCAATATTAATTGCTGATTTACTATGGTCTTGGCAGTAAATAAAAAACACCGTGAGAAAACCTGTAGATCTGAGAATAAAAAAGTAATATTTTAAAGACATAAAATTAATGCTTGAGAATGGCGAAAAGAAGGTTAAATATAAACAACGTAATAAATAATTATAATTTTTGTAAGTATATTTTATTTAAGGATAACTAAATACTACTTAATACGAAATGAGATAAATACTTACATAAGTTTCAATGAGATCACTTCGGTGAGGGACAAAATAGTTATGGTCCTCCATGTCTCGGCGTTTTTTGACGCGCACGAAATGTTCCAAAGCATTGAGGGAACGACGGGCGCAGGCCGCTACTAGGAACTCTTCGACAGACATGCCTTCCCGCACCCCGACAGTGGCGGTGGTACCTTCCGGTAGGGAAACACGTACCGCTGCCTCACCTTCTTCACGCGACATCTGTTTTTTGTATAAACATTTTTTTCTGGACATGATGTCAATTCAGTTACAAAGGCGATATCGTCAGTTTAGTTTCATTTATTCACCAATTTAAATGATTAAATAAAACTATTATTTACGGATTTTACAGCGTTTAATTACTTTAATTTATTTTTACTATCCCGACGTTTCGGGTGCTTTACAGCACTCATGGTCACGGGGGGACTGAGATGTTTGACATCCCAATGTCATAGTTAGTCCGGCTACCTTCAGTTTTTGAATATTAATTTTTGGGCCGATTTACGCAAAACGAGCTTATAGTATCATGAAGTCTTACAGTGGTATGCTTGGGTTTGGGTTTAATTTTGTTAATTATAGGATCCCAAGCAGCTGGCAGCACCCATCCATCTTCTCTATTGAAATTTGGATGTTATTTAATTTCAATAGCCTCGCGTATCATCCTTGGTAGGAATCGGTGTTCCTTTGCGAGGATTTGTGGTTTATCAAATGTAATGGTGGGGACGATCTTGAACATGTTCGCAGACTGCAGACTTCCCAGAGTGTCGGTGCTTCACGTCAGCTATATGTTCCTACACGCGGTCATAGATCAAACAAAAAGATCTATAAAAACCCGCGTGAAGTCTTTAATGTAACTGCTTAGGCGACCTACTCTTTGTAATCTTGTAATTACTAAAAAAGGTCGAAAAATTTAACTTCTAATAAAAAGTTAAGACGACTTAAAAGCTCTAAAAACTAAATAATTTCTACATAATATCTTTTGAAGCCGGGGCTCTGATTACTCGTTACATTCTCTCTTAGTACAAGCCATTATGTAGAAATTATTTAATTTTATTCTTTTTAGTTTTTCTAAGTCGGTTTTTACTATTTTTTTATAGGAAGAATAACCAAAACATATCAAATGTATATATAGGTAGCGCTGTATTATTTATACCTGTTATATCTCTTTTGGTATGCCCACAAAGTATAGAAAAATGTCGCAATATAAAATGTACATAGGATGTATGAAAATATATGAATTTGGTTATAATATTATTTGTACGCCTCACAGAAATGTATTTCGGATCAAGCGCGGGTTAATCGCGTTACTGTTGTTTTATCTTATTATTATCATGTTTATTCCATTACCTTTGTCCCTAAATTTTAAAAATATATAATTCATTTGAATTATATAATGAATATTTAAACTAAAAAATGCACGCCATAATAAATATAGTATAAGTTTTCTTTTAGTACAAGTTATTAAATTTTCTGACAAAGCAAGTATGTTTATATAGTTCCTTCCAGTTATTTTTACCTTGTTTGTAATTTATTGAGGAAACAAGGCGGAACGCTTAATGAAAGGTATGAAAAGCAACGAGCGACGGAAAATATACTAACAGGCACTTTTCGTGCTAGCTTAAATTACAAGCTTGATATTAACCCAGCAGTATTACTAATTTCTGTATAGAATATGCTATCCCTGTATTTCAGTAGTCAAAAGATTTATTTTAGTCAGGCTTTTCCAATGATAATTTAGCTGTAACATACGAGTACGTAATCTTTGTTTTCAGAACTACGCGTAAAATAAATTTGAACATTTTATAGCGTCTGCCCAGTGCAAGCAACGATATATTGCTTTCCTTAAAAGCGGAGCCGTAGGAAGAATAAATAAAAATGTAGCATGTTTTCATTTTCTTTAGATTAAAAAAACTTTTAAGAGGAATTTAAGCTTTTAAGCAGGTAAAAAGGTTTTGCTTACACTCGCAATTTTAGAGTACTATGCATCTACAAATGAATATCACAGTGGCGTTTTAAAATTTTGCATGCTATTAGAGTTTTTCATTTTCATGATTGTCTATCTTTATTTTGTGGATACTCTTAGGGAAGTAGTTGCAATAGTACGGCATAATAATAATCAAGAGAAAATTTACATGTATATAAATAACATAGATAAGAGTTACAAATATCATCATCATCATCATCATTACAGCCCATCACAAGTCTACTGCTGAACATAGGCCTCCCCCAAGGTATATCACAAAGCACGGTCCTGAGCCACCTGCATCCATCGACTTCCTGCGTGTCTTGCCAGGTCGTCACTACATCTAGTGGGCGGTCGCCCTACACTTCGCCTACCGGTATGAGGCTGCCACTCGAGAACCTTTTTTCCCCAACGGTTGTCGGTTATTCGAGCTATATGGCAGGCCAATTGCCACTTCAGCTTACTAATCCGTTGGGCTATGTCGGTCACTCTGGTTCTACTGCAGATATCCTCATTTCTAAGTTTATTAAGTTACAAATAATAAACAAATAGAAATACAAATATAATAACAATGTACAGTAGCAATATTAAAAAGAACGTCCTCCAGAATGATTCCGGTCTCGACGGAAACTAGCAGCACAAGATAATACAGCAGCTTATATACAGATGCGCAGTAAAGGATTATAGTGCCCAGGTGTATGCGCAAGCACAGGTGAACTCTCTATTCCTTCACTCTCATAGTTTTACTGGGCGGTAATACGACATGGTCGAAGACAGTTCAAGTGCAGAATCAACAGATTTACGTGCTTCCCGAGGCATGGGAGTGAAACATCGCCAACTTACTGATTCATGGCGGCTACTGAGAATTTCTTACAGTAAAACCCAATAACTGATATGGCCCGATCCGGGATTCGAATCCGTACCTCGTGGTGAGAAATAGCGTTTACGACTACTACACCAAAGAGGCATATAAGAGTATATTTACATTCGAACCAGACACATATGCCGGAAGTATTAAGATATTATATTTATGGCCCTCTTCATAAAAATCGACGTCAATTTAAGAAATCCTTAAATTCCTCTCTCTTTTTCAATTAATGACATATAATGAGACAGATAAGATATATTTAATACTTAATTAAATCAAGCGATAATCTAAGATTATAAGTAAGTTCCGTAATATTTACGTCAAACATTAAATTGTATTCATTTCATTACCGTATAAGTATAACTTACACAAATTACTCGGTAAGTTAAGTAAAATAAGTACAAAAACCTCAGTTATACAATATATAAAAGAAAATGTGAAAGTATTTTTATACCGTGTGTAGTTGCACTTATTTTTCATCAAATTACATAAGAGCTTTTTTAAATTAATATGAGTGTAATCGACTATACCTGCATGGAGCGCCGGCTCGAGCCAGAGTTCGAGCGTGATAAGTTGGGCGCCCGTCGCTTCGTGGCGCCACGCCCCGCCAGCAAATTGTTCAAGAGCGACGGCGAGCGAGCGCAAATAAATGCATGGAACGACGACACCGTGAACACACCCAGTTTATTCAGCGTGCTCTTTGTGCCACGTGACACGTGTGTCAGCAACGACTGTAACAAACCCCGCTTTCAACAAGTAACAATTGCTCGTGTTCCGAGAACTGCTCGTAATTTTGTGACACATTCTCAAAGTTATTTATTTAATCGTTGCCGTTATAACTTTCCACTAATAATTAACACTATGTTGGAAACTTCATGACATAACTTTGACATCACAAGCATCTATCTTTCGGGGATAGTTTTTTGTTACGAGTTGTATACGTGCTACTATAATTCATATTCACTGTTTCATTTTTATACAATAAGGGTGAGAAACGAGCACCTAGTCCACCAGATTGTAAGTGGATGCTATGGCTCATGGACATCTACATCTATCTTCGATTAAGAACCATAATGCAGATGTGTTGCCATCCCTGAGGACTAAGATGGAATACCCCGTTTCCAGTAAAAAGGGTCTTCCGTTCTCTACATTCACCATATGAAACACAACAGCATTACGCTGTTATTTTATGCTGGTATTCTGTGAAAGCGTGGTCGTACCCCGGTCGAGCCAACCCGGTGGTGTTACAACCATAATATAGCTGCAGTGTGGCTCTACTACGTAGAATATTGTATTTAATTCCAAATTTTTATCATTACAAAATTGCAAAACTATCTACTATTTACTAGCTCGGCTTACATTCCATAAACAACGATTTCATATATTTTATAGTAATATAATGTCACTGCACATTGCATACCGCTTACTGGTCTGGCGTTGACGAGACTGAGCGGATATGCTAGGAAGTCAATATTATCCTTTCAGAAATAATGGTTGTTGAATGTATAGGCCCGATGCTGTTAGATTTAAATGAAAGTGAAATTAGAGTAGTTATTTGTACTCAGTGTCTTTAGCATGTCGTAACCCCAGATATGCTAAAGCCACTGATATGCAAGATGAGTCTAGGGAGATAGTAAGGATGACATTAATTAAATGTATGCAAACTGAACATGCCCATGATGTATACCCATGCTAAAAGTTGTTAATGGATGAGTTGGAGTGAAGATGTCTTGTTAGGGTAGTGTACTGGAAAAAAAATCGGTCAAGAATGTATAAATGACAAGGGCGATAGCCTACTTACAGTATATTTTAAAAGAAATATCATTTCAGGGGGAAGGGAAAAGAAAGAAGCATGATAGATTTCATAATTATGGATGGGAGGAAGCGAGATAAGTATTGATAAAATAATGAAAGCAATAAAAAGCATGAAAGTAGGTAAAGAAGCTATGTATAACGAAGTATCATTAGAAATTCTAAGATGAAGGCAAGCCTGCTGTACACTTTATTAACTTATGTTGTAAACTTAAGCGTGTACCAGGAGTCTGCTGCAAAGCCGTTTTAGTCCCACTGTATATTAGAAAAAGTTTAGTAAGACTATGAAACTGCAGAATCAGCCTGTTTAGCATTGACAAGAAATGTAGGCTAAGGTGTTGATAGAAAAGTCATGTAATTAACTGATGGATAAATTGGGGACGGACAATCAAGCCATATTTGCACATACGTTGTCAGCAGGAGAGATGCAATTGATAGTTATTATAATGAAAGTATCACCAAAAGATAGGGGACTAAAAGTGAAGGCAATTAAAACGAAATTAAAATGAATGTTTGTTGAAACAAAAGAAAGTAAAAAGAAATAAGAATAGAAGGAGAGTTTGTTGGGAAAATAGATGACTTTGTGTATTTACTATATAAGCTGTGTGTTTAGTAGAGATGGTTGATGACATAGTGTGTATGGAGCTCATCACACTTTTGTGGGAAGTCAAAAAAAAGTACGTATGGCAATTCACAATGCCGTGTTAATCCCTGCGTTAATATATGATTGTAAATGTTGGGTATAGCAGAAGAAGCAAAAGAGCAAAATAATGCCGTAGAAAAGCGGTCAGTAAGAAGTATGTTAGCTGGTAATCTAAATGATGCTGCAAAGGTAGTGGCAATATCTCTGACGGATGCCCTAGAAGGATATTTATAGACTAAATTGATAATAGTAATACGATTATGACATAAATTGGCTGCTATTCGGGGAATTGAAATATTCGTTCGTTATTTAGCATACCTAGGAATAAGTAGAATTTATTCCTAGGTATACTATATAAATAGTTCATAGTATTCATATAATTGTATCTATATATGTAAAGGTAAATTAAAAATATAAAACAATTTTTTATTGGTTTCAATTTTAATAATATGCTTTAGACATGTCCAGTAACCAAAAATTATATTTATTTACTTTTAATAGAAACAAAAAAGATAAAAAAAATGAAACGCACATGAATAAGAATAAATAGTAAAAAGATTTTTTATACTTTCCTATATATGGTATATACTAATAAAATTATAAAACCAATTCGCGTATTTCTATCGAATGCGTTTATTAAAGTTACTTTAAGTTTACTTATCAAAGTTATACTTAAGGGTCTTACATATTAGACTTTGCGAATTCAAATAATCCTCTTGAATTTTCTATCAGAATATATTTATTTATTTATTTATTTAACAATTCATGTACACACGAAGTATTTTACAATGAAAAATAAAAAGAAATTTTGTACAAAGGCTCTGCTTATTTCATAATGAAATTTCTTCCAGCAGGCCTGATACTGGACAGATTCAAAGAGAAGCAGATTTAGTGTGCACCCTCATAATAAATTTTATAATAAACTTAATATAACATAAAGATAATAAAAACATATACATACAAACATGCATATACCTAAATACTATGCTATATACATATATAAAATAAAATACAAGTAGATACACATATATTTACAAGTCATACATTGGATCATTGGGACGACAAAGAAAGATAGTGCTCTTTAACTCGCCTTTTAAACACTGAAACTGTTTGAGCCTCACGAATTGCAGTAGGAAGAGAATTCCATAACCTAACTGCATGTACTGTAAAAGAATGAGAATAGTACTTAGTTCTGAAGGAAGGGAAATTTAGGAGGGGTTTTTAAATGTGATCTGCAAACTGCATCGGGAGAACGAGCAAAGCGGAATCGATCACGTAGATATGGTGGTGATGTTGGATCGTAGAGTATTTTAAAAAGGAGGCATAGGATTCGGGTATTCCTGCGAAGTCGGATTGGGAGCCACTTGAGCTGTTTGCGATAGGAAGAGACGTGGTCATACTTTTTTAGCCCAAAAATGTAACGGATACATAAGTTTTGCAAGCGCTCAAGCTTGTTTAATTGCTCCTCAGTCGCATCCAAATAACAGACATCGGCATAATCAAGAATCGGAAAAATAAGTGTTTGGACAAGAGAAATCTTCGTTGATAAAGGCAAAAACTTTGAAGACATTTTAAAGAATGTAAAGTATAATTGATTTTCCGGCTAACTTCTGTGATATGTGCATTCCATGTCAATTTGCAATCCATTATGATGCCCAGATTCTTAACAGTTTCTGAAATGCTTAGTGGAGTGCCATTAATTTGGAGTGCTGGGAGTGAAGTAAAATCGAGTAGGTTACGAGTAAACCTGGTGCCTATAATAATTGCTTGTGATTTTTTGGGATTTATAACAATTCCATATGATCTGGACCACTCATGGTTTTATTAAGATCTTTCATTTATTTCAAATATTGCTGAATTTTCTTCAGTCATAGAAAATGCGAATATAAGACATAGAGAAATAAATCTATAGGAAAAATTATGTTTCGTGATGTGAAAAACTAGTAACTCGTAATTACTCACCATTCTACTTTTTTTAGGTCTTCTCAACCCTTAAATATGCATAAAACCAAGTGTGTATTTGCTATCAAAAGGATTATAATAAAGTTGTTGCTTGACTGACTGTTCACAAGTATACTTTTATTCATAAGCAAGTTAAGACCCGAAAAAGATACGTAGAAGATGAGTTGTAGCAAGTTCATTATAATATTTTAGGTAGCTATTTACAATAGGTAAAATGACGTGGGTCCAGTACAGAGCTTACCTCCTCTACGTCTCGACAGGGAAACTGTCAATTTGCCAGTGAAGTCAACACATATCTTTTTTTCTGTCAATTCGATGAAATCATTTGGCAGTGAAATATTTTTAGTACACATGTTTGTAGATAATTTGATTTTTCTCTTTAAACTCGTGGTATTTTTGTCTTTTTATATTATTGACGAACACGTACCTAAATATTTCCAAAAGAAGTGATATCTATGTTTTCATTTTATTTCTTCTAACATATTATAATGATGAGGTTAGTAGAAAATGTTTGCTGTGTTAAGATATTTACGTAGATTACGTAATTTTCTTCACACAGGAACTAAATTTACGCTCCCCTAGTCTCTACTTCTTGCCTATTCTTGACTGTGCTGGTATTTGCTATCTTGAATTTACCGAGGAGCAGCTTAATAAGCTTGAGCGCATTCAAAATTTATGTATAAAATTTATATTTGGGTTTCGCAAATATGATCACATCTCCGAATTTTACAAACAGTTCAAATGGCTCCCAATCCGCCTTCGCAGGAATACTTACTTTCTCTCCGCATTGTATAGCGTGCTGTTTAATCCTTCCACTCCTCATTATTTAAAAGACCGTTTCCAATGTCTTTCCATTACCCATAATCGGTTCCTTCGATCCTCTGTCAATCTTTCTCTCTCTACTCCTTTGCACTCTTCCTCATTTTTTAAGAAATCCTTTACCGTAACTGCTGTGCTTTTGTGGAACTCTTTACCTCTCTATATTCGTCGTGCTAAATCTCCTCACTCTTTCAAAAGTCTTGTTAAATTGTAACTTAGAACACTATTAGATAAATAACTTTACCGCCTGTTGTACATATTCTACTTTAGATTTAACTGCACTCGATGTTTTATATTTTGGTGTACAACAAAAGATAAATAAAATTCTTTTGTATTTTCCTGAGCAAAAAAATGTACTACCTAAAGTAAACAACATTATTTGCTTAAGCAAGTACTTGTGATTGGTGAAGTCATTAGAGACGGTAATAATTTTAGGATTTAAGTATACTGCATTATTATATAAAATGAAATATAAAATTCATCATCATCACCATCATAGCCCTTCACATATCCATTGCTGAACATTGTGCACGGTCTTGCCATTTACATCCATAGATTGTCGGTTCTACGTGTTATATGACCGGTCCAATGCCACTTTACCTTCGGGCTACTTCAGATTTAATTTCAAAGTTTATTTTTTAATACAAGTATAATTTATTTCAAGTATAATCCGGTATTCTAAAGAATACCAAGGTATTCTCTAGAATATCTAAAACATTCAGGCAATGAATAAAATATTATTTATTTCGTACTTTACCTAGGGCATTCTATACAACACCGAATGTTTAACCGGCAATGTATTGAATAAGAAGTAACGGAATAGCGGGAGTGCAGTTCACGATTTGTCTTAAGATACTAAATTTATGAAAATGAACTCCTGAGTCATAACATGACTAAACTAACCTACCCTAACCTATTCTAAACCAATTAAGTTTTCGTGTTTTACTTAATATCATTTAAATTAATTTAAAGACATTCAGCATAAGCAAATGCTTTGTATGAATTATTGACATTTAATTATATGTACTATGTGCTTGCAATATATTTTTTTATGTATTTTCACAATTTGCAATTTTCAAAACAATTTTCAAAATTCAATTGGTATGTATACAATTTTTATTCAACTTTGACTGTAATTCTTGATAAAGTTGATTTTCAGTAAAGAAAATATGTTTTATTTATTCACATTTTATACATTGCCTAAGCAAAACGGCATTACATGGAACGACTAGGTATTCTATACTATGACTATATTATATGTATTTCCGGTAACACATAAAAGGCATGCATATATATACATATAATGTGTATTTATTATATTTATTTTGTATTGTGTATAATAATATTATAATTATTATTATGAGAGTGGCCACAATAAATCTGTTTCACTTTGAATCTGTCCAGTCTCGGGCCTGCTGGAATTTTTTTTACAATTTGAAATAAGCATAATATTTTTTTATTTTTGATTGTAAAATAAATTTGTGTGTACAATAATTGTTAAATAAATAAAATAAATAAATAATGGATTGTCAACTCGCCTTATCTTTTAGTTATAATGAAAAACAGCGATTATTGTACGATTGAGCGATGTTAATTTAAAACTTCTTTTATTTCAAATAGTTTTAAATGCGACGTACATTTAATTATATTACCTTAGGATTTGGTAGTTCACCACTTTGAAGGCTGGCCATGTAACAACGAAGACGGAATTGCTCGCAGTGAAGGCGCTCCAGGTTCTCCTCCCACTGAAGCATCTGTACAGCGAGCTGGGCTCTGGTTTCCGGATCCGAAACCACCGATTGTTGTAGGTCCGCCATATGTTTTAATTTATGATCCTGGGTATGTTAAGAGTAATAATTGATTAATTATATTATGTAGCGGTGTGAATCAAATTGTTACAAAATTAAGACAATAAATCTTAAAACTATTAGGGACATATTACGCACCGTAAAAAATGTCGATTTTTAATTTCGCGACTGTTTGGGCAGCCACTTTTTATATTGATTTCAAATTTCAACCATCTGCATGAAAAAATCTCTGAATAAAAACTGTTTGACAGACAAACAGACTTCGTTTTGATGACGCAACACAATGTGCGGTGATTTTTTGAATATTGTCATATTTGAATACATTGGTCGTAAAATCATCTAACCAACAAAGCACGAAATAAATAAACAAATTTAAATTACACAGTTTTAATGTAAAAGAGTAAAAAAAACATGCGATGTTTAATAGCATGGTTTATTTTTTTATGTTACCTATTCCATTTCGAAATTTTTATGCCGAACGTAGACTATACAACTTCTGTAAAAAGCTCGTTGTTAGAATAGGAGCAAAGCACACTGCACATCTAAACTTTATACTTTCGCATATTTTTGCTCTGACAGTAGATTTTTGTTACATGACAATGCGGCAAATGATAAAAGGTTACCTGTACTGAACGCGTAAATGTCTATTTTATACGAAAAAAAAAGTTTAACAAAACACGAGCAAAATTTCTAAAATATTTTCGCCCATTATTTATAATCCAGCCAATAACATTTTAAGCAATAATTTCAATAAGCTTTTTGTACATTTTTAGTCTTTGGTGGTCTCAATTTGTTTTAGCATTAAACAAATTTGAAAAGGCCGACACAAAGGCTTAGAAAGCAGATTATGTAAAACATTTTGCATAGTAAGTATAGACTTGAAATCCACACGAAGTTTGAACCTCTGCTATGAATATTAATGACCGCATGCCACCTGCCTGTGATCACTATCAGGAAATTCTCTATGTTACTATACTAACATGTTAGCGTATGTTCATACTAAATATATTCTTCACCTTTAATATGAAATAAAGTAGCCAGGTTAACTTTTTTACATAATTTCATAAAAGTTGTATAAATTTAAATAAAATTACTGATTATAATATATCTAAGGTATGTAAAAAATATTGATTCCATGCAAACATCATAAATTCCATGCGAGGTATTTGTGACAGTATAATTTTGAATATGAAGATTACTTAAACCATATGTAATTTATAATCAATGCCTCCGTTTATAGGTACTCGAATTTATTTGGCACTCAATGCAATGATGTTCGAAACGTAGCTGCCTATTTCTGAGTACGTGTAGAATGTTAAGGCTAGAAGGACCTGGGAAAATAGCAGATATATAGAGAATAAAGAATTACAATGATAATTATTGTTAATGCAGAAGATGTACATACAGTATGGAACAGGAAATTGCTGATGATTGATGGCTTCACTCAAAAAAGAGTATATATATATATATATATATATTTATGTATGTATGTATTATTTACAAAGTTCAATTATAAGCGATAAGACTAGCTTAAAGATCCAATGTTGCTAGTCGACTTAGCAAAATATCTAAAGTCCATGTTTGAGTTTTTTTTGTTCCAAATAACAAAAGATATTGCGATGGAAACGCCGTTCTATTCAGCTACTAGTATTGTGTTGCACTGGTATTTAATTTAGATACCCCTATCTAAGGCAGAGTTCATCGTAGTAGAAGTTAAAGCGCATATTCGTAGCGGTGTTCGTGTAGTGATCATATGCGACCGCAAAAGCTTTGATGCGTATTGCGGTCGTCCGGTGCGGATCACAAATTGGAACGATTTCCACTACGAACGTTATAGACCACATGTAAACCGCTAATTTCACATATCATAAATGAATTTACGTCGGCGTAGCTAATTTTTGTTTTCTGATGTCATATATATGTAAATATAGTTTATAAGTCATATTTTTATAATCAGGTAGTTGAATCATGATTAAAAAACGGTTTGAAGTAGTTTGATTAAAAAAATTGTCACACTTTCATACTTTACAATAAGACAGATGTTGGCGGCGATATCCACGTCTCACTATATCTGCTTACTCAATAAGTTATTGGACTTTTTTGTTGAGTACACTGTATAATATTAATAAAAAAATTATCACGAACAGTAAACATTTTGGTCAACTATCACAACTATCCTTAAAGTGATTCTGGCCCCATATTTATAAGCACGTTTTTCTTACTTCATTATTATGAATGCGTCATATTATTGACAATATATTTTTATACCATTCAATGCTTTTACTTTGTCTTGCATGTAATAGTAAAAGACACTTTTTTCAATAAATTAGTTTATTATTATGATAAAGATATGATTATAGAGATTTGGCGCAACTTAATAAATGTTATGTAAGAAAAAGTATTTGTGGAAAATAAAGCAGAGCAATAAATTTATCTGCATAAATGATGAATGCTTTTTGCTTCGTTGAATTGTACACACTAGAAAGCTTTATAGAAGTAATGTTGAAAACTGACTCTGGTATTGTTAATTTTAAAGTTGAATTTTGGCCGTCGTGTTTTCAGTTTGCGAAGGTAGTTAGTGATTTGTGTCAGTCAAACAATACTTCTGTTGGTTCAGGCCGACACGGTGTACACCGTTGAGTTGTGCATAATATCGAAGTGAATTCTGTATTGTGTTTCTTTAAATTTTCATACGCTGCAGATATTTCCAAATAACAAAAATGTAATATTTCGAAGAAGGGTTTCCTGCCTTATTTTTTAAATGGACATATGGACAATATTACTCTTTTCTTTACCACTTTTAATTGAATTTAAATTTATTATACTCACAGATTCTATAGCTTTCTCGAGACGATATATTTCCTCTTGCAGCAAATGGAGTGTTCCGGTTTTGCCGCGATGACGAGCAAACGCCGCAGCGCATGCACTATGTATGCTGTTCACCCAGTTCTCAAGCTCAACCTGAGAGGTTATATAAAATACATATTGAGGAAATGTTACAAGTGCCTTATACTGTATTTTTAGAATTTCTAAATGACTTACTTGACAAGGCGCTTGAAATAGGTAAGCATCACCAAATGCCGTGCTCAGACAAAATATGTAGTCACGTTTTGGATGTTCCGGTATTGGTTGCATAATTGCACCGTCGACTATAATAAGGTGTTTGGGAGCGGCTTCTACAGATCGACCTTCCCGAGAATCGCAGGGGTAAAATAGTAGCGTAGTGCCTTTCAAGCACACCCAGTAACCTTTCCAACCACGTTTTCGAGCCAACTCGATCTGGTGTTTTTTACGCAGTAGCCATTTTTTCACGCTCAAAAATCTGCACAAAAATTTTATTTATAAAAATACTCTTACTCTCTTATTTTAAATGTACATGAGCAACTCGAGATTAATCTCCGTTGACAAAAATAATATTGTTGATCGCAATTATAAGTGCCGACTTACCACGTATACGTATATCTGCATTAAAAAAATACAGATGAAATCCCTATGAAACCCTGCACACCACATATGCGATTACTTTACTTTTAAGCCATTTTAAATTAAAATAGTAAAGTGAAAACTGTGACCTTTTAGTTAGGGTTAAACAGTGAATACTTTAAAACTTTCCAACAGTATTACAGGTATTTCACGATGTTAAGCATTTTGACCCAATTAAACACGGGCGCTTGATCTTGGATGGGACCGTTTCCGTATTATGATTTCAATTGCTCATTTAAGTTGAAGAACTTTTTGAACGACTTTAAGTGACGTCTATGGACAAGAACCATTCCAACGTTTATATACTGTTCGCATAATGGCATTGTCTGAAAATAAATTCGATTGTAGTCGTGTTTAAAATGCGCTGAATAAAATTCTGTTAAGAATCGTTACATATTGTTAATATTTTTATTACGTATAGACACTATTTACGTCGTTAAGTACTTAACCTTTTAAAAACGGTGTTCTTTACGAAACAAAAATAATACTAAGTCACTAAGATATCTAATATTCAATGCAGGTCCACTGCTGAATTTAGGTTCTCTCCATGGAACGCCACTAAATACTGTCTAGTGCCATTGACCGACCATACACTGATTTAACAATTCCTCGACATCGATTGTCATAAGATGTGAAAAAGTTTTAAAACATTGAGCATTTCATCGTATTCTGGCGAAAAGTCATTTTTAAGGAATTGTAGTTACATAAAAAATCAGAAATCACTTTTGATGCGTAATTGTATATGAGTATTATGGAGTGGATCGGGAATTGTATGTAAATGGTTCTTTTAAAAGATTTTAATTTAGTTTGTCGGTTGTTGTTATTCTGCATCAAAATTGTTTGCAGACGGAGAAAATCTGGTGTTTTGAGCTTAGTCCTTCCTTTCATGTGCATACGCAATAATTACATATTTAGCCATTATTTATTAAAACATATGAAAATCTTGTCTGTTATAGACAAATTATAAGAGTAGAATTGGTAACGATTTAAAATGTCACACAAATCCACCCATACCGCCTAATGCCTAATTTAAATGTCTTTCAGGTATATAATCAGTCAGTAATCAGAGTTACATTTATATCTGCCTAGATTTACAATTAAAATAAATGGTTTCCTAAAAATACATCACAGTTTAAAAAAAGAGTAGGAGAGCCACCAGGTGAGAACGAGGAAAAACATTGCCAAATTATACAGAAATTTAACTACGCTAATGGAGAATACTATAAAAAGGGATTACAGCTTTTGAGTAGGTTTTTATTTCGAGGTGCTTTTACGTATTAAGTACATTCGAATTAAACCTTTTTTACATTCGCTTTTTAAATTGCCCATTTTCAGAAAACATCAGATAAAATCTGTTTAAAAATCTAGCTTTACATAATTTGCAAGAAATATATTATTTGTTGTTAATTTGGTTAGGAATATAAATTAGGGTGATTCTTATTAGGGCTGCCGGGTTTCCTCGGCTTTATCTTTGCGAAGCGTGCGGATAATTCTTGGAATTTCTTTTTACGTCCGAGTAAATCCCAATTGAGTGATTGAATATAAAATAGTGAGACTCATTTGATTATTCTACTAAGCGCAATTGATACATGAAATACTGTCTGTACTGATCTGAGTCTCATTTACTGTATATTAGATTTATTAAATCAATCAAACGGAGGTTTTCCGGCAATAAAAAAATATGTCAATTATTTAATCATATAAGTGAAATTTCTATTTTGGCATTATTCTCATAATTATATCTCTAAGGTTTATTATATATATATATATATATATATATATATATATATATATATTTATTATTTATTATGAGACTGAATTTGAAGTTTAATAAAGAACAAATATTATTAATAAATAAAAATATATATAATAAAAAAACAAATACTATTAGTATAGTGAACCGTTATGTAGTTGTATTTTATATAGTTAATAATAAGTTGTTTCTTATTTTATTAAAAAATCATACACTTGAACGTTAAGTTCATACTTTTATAAACGATTCAAGCAAAGTTCTTCAAGTTATTTATAATTCTAAAATGTATTGCGGAAGGTCGTATTGATTTCATAAAAGTTTCAAAGTTTCAAAATGTTTTTAATTAATGGAACGATCGCGTAGCTTAGGTAGGTAAATTTCTTTTATTAGTGTTTTTCATTTATGCGCAATATGTGACATTTTAATACCAAAACTTACTTTTGCTTATGAATTAAATAGTACTAGTAGTAGAATAAAATGACTACAATCCATCTTTATAACATTTTTGTATACATTACGAGTAGGTAACTCATGTAAATAAAGATTTATCGAGTCATACATAATATTTTGTCTATTTTCAAGGTGAATTTATTATATATGTAAATAAATAAGGTATGTCGTATTATTTGACTTATATCTTATGTCAGAGCTGCTAATTGAATACCTACTCGCAACTTATAACTATATAAAATAAATGAAGTAATAAAGTAAATTAACTAGCCGTAGAAAAGTAACTTAATAAGTATGTATTTCTTGATCCTTTTTAAGTTCTTTTCAACGTACAGTTTTTGTGCCGATGTACTTGAAGATAAACCTCGAAGAAAAAACCTCATCGAAGCTATAATATCCTGTCTCCCTCTACTCTTTGTACGTTTTACAGCCGTGCTGAATGGGTCATGGCTAAGATTTCCCTGCGGTCATTTGGGATTCATGAAAGAGAAATTGTAGCCTTAAGGAATATAAAGGACGCTGTAGGCTTAAGGAAAGTCGTCAACTCCTTGCAGCGTGACTTTTCTTTCTGAATTTCCTTACAGTAATCTTAAGGCAGGAACGCTAGTGATTTTCTAAGCCACTATTTTCAAAAAGATGTGAAGGTGAAAGAACAAAAAGTAAATCGATATTAAAGTCAAGAAAGAAGCTGCGGTCTTTCAGCGTTTTTTTTAATAATATTAGAGTGAAGCGAGTGATTCTAAGTCCAGCTGATGGTAAAACGTTATTCCAGCACCTAGATACTTCAGACCATTTCTAAAAATGCAATTGTTATTTGGTAAATTTAAATTTCAGTAAGTTAATTTAATTATATTTCTTAATAAATGATTATATTTCACTTGATAAAAATAACCGCCTTTATTCCTTTTTTAATAACAAGAACAGCATATTTGTACAAGAAGTCAAATTTGCATTAATGTTTCTAATGTTCAATATCAAGCTCTTTAATAATTCCAATGTTTATATTGGAACTTTATATGGTATCTTATGATATTGTTGAATATTTAGATAATTTCTTGTTGTATCATTTTTCTAATCATTATGCATTTGTAGTATTAGACTCTATGGACTTCAAACGTTAGTAACATTTTAAAAAATGAAGTGAGAGGCGAACCTACAATCCTGATGGGAGTTGCTACTGCAGTTCATGGACGTCTGCAGCTAACTTCAAACAAAAAGGACTATAGATGCGTTGTCACCTCTGAGTACTAAGATGTAATGCCTTATAGCCTGTGTAAATATACCGGCTCTGCTATTTGGTAATACTGAGACAGATTCCTCCTAGAAAGAGTCTTAACATTTGTAACTTACCCTGCTTTTCGGACAGCTCCAGTACAGTTGAATGAAGCTGCCGCAGCACCAGTCTGTTTGCCCTTGTAAGGCGAATTCATTGCGCTTTCACCAGGTTCCTCCTCGTCCGATACAGCGGTGGTCAGCGACATGCGATCATCATCCGATATCTGATAAAATAAAGAAACCATTAATTGATTAAAGGTAATTTAATGTAATTTAAGGTGATCTTACACACACCAATAAAGCATACAGACAAGAATCTTTCTTAGGCTTTAGTGAAAGCCATCGTATGAAGGATCTGTAAGGAATGAAGTAGCGTTAGATATGGTGAGTATGGGGTGTGCAGCTCAGTGAGTTTGTAGGTTAAATAATTAATTTACACGACTATCAGTCTAAGGATTTCTTTTGCATATAAAATATTCTTAAATTCTTTCAAAGTACACGATGAATATATACAAAATACAAAGTCTCTTTTATAAGTACAAGGTCAAATTTGTCCAAAAAATGTCTCAATGGCGACCGAAATGAAAAATACTCTAGTTTTGATATAAAATGCTGGGGTATCTATACGTAAACTGAATAAATGTGAGTTTTATTAGAAATATTAAACTGATTTTATAACTTATATTTTTGGTTCTGTCGCAACTGGTACCAATCCGTGGCATTTTTCTAACATTATGAAAAATGATTTTTAATTATTATATCAAAAAGCCTATGAAAATCATCTCGTTTAGGAGGCCGATCGGAGATCGCAATGCTGAGTATTTTTACTCGAGTTACTGTTTTAGACATTCCCTGAATTTGGTATCTGCACCTGGCTTATCGTTTTTCATATGTCCATTATCCATCCATTACAGCCTAAAAAGTCTATCGCTTAATACACGTCTCGACAATAGATTGCTTCATCCGGGGGATTTTGCCACGGTTGCCACGTTTAACAGGCTTTTAATATATAAAAAAATAAAAACTTAATGTTATTATTACTTGTGGCAAGAATCGTTAGTAACTTATTTTAATTCTGACGTTCACGTATATAAATAAACTCTTCGAATTTAATTCAAGAAGTGCTTTAAAGTTGCAACAATCTAATAAAAAGTTCTTTCTCGACGGACTGGAAGTTTCTTAACATGCGGAAATTATTATTAAGCGAAGTGAAATAAAAATATAAAGCAAAATTTGTATTGAACTTTAACTTAGAACTTTACCAAAACGTTGATTGTAGATGAAAATTTGATTTCACGACTGTATAGACTAACAGTAATAATTATAGAATTCGGAGGTCCTGGACATCCAGCATAATATAAGTCTGTGTTTAGGACAAGTCAAAACTTGAAAGCAATTATCTTCTAAACGTATTTGCCTTGTTGTACACAAAAGACATTATACAGCAATTATTTACTTGTCAAGACTTCAATTCAGTAATCACAGCATTCAATGATCACAGCGTGTAAACAGTTGCTTACAATTCTTGAATGGCAATTGTTGCTCTTACTTAATTGCATTCAATAATTGCTCTTGTATGTACAAGAAAATGGCATCATGTAAATGGACCTTAGGGCCCGCCACATACTACATACGAAATTCCGTCACGGAATTCCGAAACGGAACGAACGGGTCAGCCACACACAGACGGATCACATATTGCCCGCAAAATTCCGTACGGAAAACTACCGTAGGTGTGAAACGGGTCATTGATTTTATATGGACTTGCTGCATTCAGAATCCCGAAATGGAATTCCGAAACAGAATCCCGAAACGGAATTCCGTATTTATGTGGCGAATTGTAGTGATAAGTGTGCAAGAGTGAGTGAATGTGTGGTAAAACTTTCATTTTTAACTTTTATATGTGCTGGGTAGATGATAGCCTGACAGTAATAGGGAGTTTTCTTTGTGGTCTAAAGCTAATAGAGAAATATCTGAACAATATGTTTCTTAAGGAGTAGCTACTTGTAGCTAAAGACATTTTGTATCTAGTTAAGCAGGTGGCGGTAGTTAGGTGTGTCATATATAGCGTATTATCTATGGTTAGCTGGTTAGGTCAGGTTAGGGTATCAGTGTATTGCATATTTGTGTCGAATACTAGAAAATAATATTTGCGACAAGGATATTTACGGAAATAAAATCTTTTATAATTGTGTTTAAGTTGTATAGGACAGTTTACGAGCTCATTGATAACGTCGTTTGTAATAGTAAACGAGATCGACGTAAAAACTACAGTGTAGTCGTTCTGTATGGATAGATTTGGAATGTATTTCAAGGATAATAAAGTTAAAATAACCTCAAAAACGTTAAAAGCGGTAATAGATGGGTGATAAGGGCTGCTGGTTAATCTAATTAGTCCCGCGAAACTTTCGGAGTTGACCCACCTGATGCAATTGGTTTATTATGAAGCCAGTTACCAACCGGCACCGCAAGCGTTTGCTAAAAGGTTCAGATTTTGGCAAAGGAGACCAGGTGCTGACTAAAACATTGCAGAATGTTAGAAAGAAAGAAAGAAAGAAAGAAAAGTTTATTTGGTACATACATTATAACAAAAAAAAAATAAAAATAAAACATTTTTTAATATCTTATCAAAAATATTTAAAAAGTAATAACAAAATATGCACCAAAATGGTCTCCACTCAGCTTTAAGTCACGAATTGAAGATATAAATACATCAATTCGTAACGCTGATTTTCAGTGAAGCCAGGAGTGTGAGGCAGATGACAAGTAACAGCAAGAGAAAAAATGAACTAAACATAAATATAAAATAAAATCAGAAAAAAACTGTCAAAATTCCACGTGTCCGTGCAACTTTGATAGTGTAAAGATGGACGAACGGTGGTATGCATACAGAAAAAATAAAATAAATTGTGTATGTGTATGTGTGCATGCGTGTTTGAGTATGTGAGTGCGTTCGTATGTGCATGTACGGTACTGGCATTGAGATTGAATCATACCATTTATGCCTATTTGCTGGATTTTTGTACGGAAATCAGAAACTTTTTTAATAAAGTTTTAAAAGTGTCAACTGTTTTACTATTTCTGATCGGTGGTGGTATATCATTCCAGCACTTCGTGGCAGCAAAACGGAAACTACCACGGAAGGCAGCTGTGTGATGCTTAGGGTATGTGAGTCGTGATGCTGTCCTAATCGCACGCTGCGAGAAAATAAGTTTTTGGTATAAGTATGATGGTTCCCTGGTATTTATAACTCCAAAAAGCAATGATGCAAGGTGGAGAGTACGTCGAGCAGCCATACTCATCAGGTCGTGTCGATTTAAAAATGGGGTGATGTGTGATCTCTTAGGGACTGTGAAGCAGAAACGTGCGCAGGCGTTTTGAACCCTTTGTATTGATTTTTTCGTTCTTGCGAGCAAGCATTCTCCAAATACTGTATCCGCATAAGTTAGCTTCGACAGAATGAGTGATTCACACAACCTAATGCGCATGTCCACCGTCAAATACTCTCTGATCTGGTACAAGACTTTGAGTCTATAGAAACAGTTTCGCATTGTTTCTTGCACATGACCCTCAAAACGCAACCTTCCGTCCATAACGAGACCTAAGTTCCGAGCTTCCAACACACGTTCTAAAGGAGTAGTCTTGATGTTAATTTGCGGATTGAAAGTTAGAATATTATTTGTCTGGTTATGCGTTCCCAGTAACATATACTTCGATTTAATGTTTTTGTGTTTGTGTGATTTTTGTTAATTTATTATAATAATTTGCCGGTGTCTGTCTTTCGGTCCGATAACAATCTCGGCCTCGAATACACCCAGGTCCTCGAGGCCAGAGTTAATAGGCTTTTGTTACGCCAAGACAATGAGATTAAATATTTAGGGCTTGATCACCACTTACCATCGGTAGGATTATAGTCAAAAGTTTTATATATTTGTAAAAAAATAAGAATAAGGCATAGTCAGACAGAATTAACAAAAATCTGCGAAATCTGGTCGCCCGTGGGTAAAAGATTGACGTTATCAGGCAGCAACTGTTTGCTGAGTATGATGTAACAATATTCGCCAGCACAGTTAAGGTGGCTGGTACAGTAGAAAGCTAGTTAGAGTCAGTGGATATAATAAATGCAGCGTATGACATGAAGGCCGAACGGCAGTGCATTCATTAGCTTTTGCGAGAAAAAGCGAAAGAGGATGTCGGCGGCACGAAACGGGTGTCGTGTTCAGATCGCGAGCTGCGTTACGATATACGATGTGCGAAATATGGCCGAAAAGGAAAGTGTAATATTCATGCAGACAACTGCAGTGGATGAGAAGCAACTGGCCATCACTATGAGGTTTGATGGTTTCACAATTACATCTGCAGTAGGCACATAGGTGCAAGCGCACCTGCATACTATACTAATGCTGATATAATATGCCAATATTGTGTAATAAAGGTGATCTTGTATATTAAAGGCGATTTTGAATTTAAGCACTTATAACATGTAACAAACACAGTGGGTAAGAATATTCATTATAATTATTGACATCGACTTACTATTTACTTCGTTATTGCGCAATTAGCAAAGATTTTCAACACAGCTAATTGGTAATGGCAGACTTGAATTACATTTTCAACATGAAAAAAATTGGATTCATTATACCAATAAGCTTTGGAAACTATTGAGCTCTAGGACTGTGAAAGGGAAAAGAAAAATGGCTGTGGTCGGTTACATGTAACTGTGAATTCATTCAATGCTATTATTCTATTATGATGTCAATGAAAGTGCTTAAAATGTAGTTCAAGACAAGTGACATTTGGTAATTGCTTGAATTAACTTCACTGTTCTGAAATATTTCACAAGTTGGTATTTGGAGGTAGACTTTATAAAAGGAACTTCGTTAAGCAGCCGCGCTCAAATAATCCCTACCATCCATTAAAGTTGTATGGAAAGCTTTCTTTTGTTAAACTTTTAATCCTACTTTTTTCAGATATTTACGCCATAAGAGAATTTACATACATATAAGCTTAATTTATTTCTGTAGGCTCATCTATTATGTATTTATATTTTTTCATATAAATTATTAAAATACTTTAGGATTTGCTGTATGATGTCATCGTAAGTGTAGATAATTCATTACACCATATTCAGATTATATTTATACTGAATAAACATGAAACTCTCCATTTTTTAATAAGAGATGTAAATTTAAATTATTTTATGATATAATATGTATATAATTTTGACATTAGTTAATTTTAATATCCACACAGTGCAGCTAGCAGTTTATTTCACAGGTGACAGACGGTATAGGGGCGGCGTAACAGTATCTGCTACTCAACATTCTCACACCGTGGTGATGTAAGAGGTGATAGAGGCAAATAAAGCAGCGCCGTGAGCACTTTAGCACCCATGGTGACAGACTGTACTGGACATGGGCTGACGTGTTCCAGGTCCCAATGTGAGAATTTTAACGAAATCTGTTATACTTACTACCATGGAATTTGTTTGACTTCTAGCAGAATTCATTTTTTATTGTCGAATAAGTAATACTTAAGATATTTAACGTTGATCCGTTTCGGTAAAATGAGATGGCGAAATTCAGTTAAGATTACTTTTTAAAACTTGTATATTATTACTATATGTATATACTTTTTATATAAAATTAGTTAAAGTTACAGCCTATATACGTTCAGCTGCTGGACACAGGCCTCCCCTCATTTCTGAGAGGGTTTAAGGGCAAAGAATGTCCGCCGCGCTGCCCTAATGCTTGTTGGCGAACTTCACATGTCTTCGAGATATATTTTTTTCTTATTTCTCAGACATGCAGGTTTCCTTATGATGTTTTCCTTCACCGCCGAGCACGTGCTAAATATATGGTACTTCTTATATAATTGGTCGTATTGTTCATGTACATATAAGAGGTTACTATAATATACACACTATTATTCATATTGATATTATCAAACGATACATGTGTTCATTTATATCCGAATAAAACAATAAAAAAATTGAGAACAACAGTGTAATTTGTAAACGAATTCATAAATAAGTTGAGTTAAAAGTATCTTTGTGAAATAATCAGAGAAAAATCGCCTGTGATAGACAGATATTGTCATTCCATTAGAATTTCGTGATAATTTTTGTGTTGAAATACTAAAAAAATCAATAAAAAGTTAACAATTGTTACAATTTGATAAATTGTAACAAAGTCAAAATTTGTTTGCAAATGTTTGGTGGAATGTGATAAGTTGCTGAATTATTTTCCTACGTGCGACAGTACGTATAATGTAATTTACCGGCAGTCGCGCCCTCGTTTTCAGCACTGAAAATTGTTGCCTCTCCTGTCGGTTCCGGGGAATGGGGACTATGAAGCGGTATGCGCATAAGTACAAGAACAAGACTAAACGAGACAGTTTCATATCTCTGCGGGAAATATATGTTGTGAATGATAATAATTCTTTGATGTTTATGATTTAGATAGCAAATTTCAGCGGTATGTATATAGCTTACATCTACATGATTATAAGATCTATAGTTAGTAAGACATTATATTATGATATTAATAAACGATTTTCCTGGAATTGACATACAAACTTGGTAACAGTTAAGATACAGGAGATTTCCAATCTTTTTCCAAATTGGAACTTACTTCCTTATCAAAGAACAAAATAACTATTTACCGTTTTAATTTTACCGAGCCACAGTGTCATCATGTGACTATAAGCCGGGATACAAAAGATTTCATTTAAGAAATTTGGTACTTGTTGACCACTTAACTTTGTATGGTCAAAAGTTCGCCTATTTGAAATAAAAAATGACATTATAAGGATTGCTTTGGAGCGCATGCGGGTCGTGGTGGCGCACTCTTGGCTCGATGGCTCTTGACTCTGCCGCCGCCGCGACCCCTTACCTGCGTCTTTCACAAGAAAAAAGAAAATACATCTCATAGAAAATTTTATTATACCTGATAAAGTACAGTCATATAAGACTGGAGTACAGTGGAATACAAAAGCCTTCAAAACAATATGTAACGCAGAAATCTTCAGAATTAATTTATTTTGTATTACCTTTTTCTATTATAAGCCAATGTTTAACTATAAACGAGTTTAAAAAAATATTGTCTAACAATAGTTATTTCTGTTGTAAGATTAAAATGTAATTCATTCGATATTTGTGGAGTAAAGTAGTCGTTTGTATCTCACTGAGTTTAGTGGGAAGTTGAAGTCGCAGTTGTGCAACAAACTTTCTCTTTGATAGATCGTTTAGCGTGTAGAACATAATTACGTACCTACTGGTAGCTTACGCTTGGATACACGAAGCCAGTAATATTCTATTTTGCAAATCGTTGCTGGCGTACGAGATGGAAATTTTAATAAGCTCGATACGATACGGTCGATACGATTGTAATAATTTAAATATTCGCAATCGGGAATGCGAGAAGTAAAGATTTCACGACACGTAATATCAATTCAAATAAAGACTTCTATAATCTATTACATGATCTATAATCTTAGATCAACTACGAGTAAGAAAGACAGACAGATTCCTATCTACATTCATTTTACATACATAAGTGCATTAATGAGTGTTCTTACAATAAGTTAAGCATTGTTTTGGAATCACTTTAAGTGTATACATTATATTGTCTATCTTTTTGTTGGTATAATGTAACTGAGTGCCCTAAGACTAAAATCAAATTAATATAAGCAGCAGTAACAAATATTTTTATATTTATTAATATATTTTTATAGCGCATAAAATACTTTTTAATTGACAATCAAATAGCATTCAACGTTATACAAATTTCAATGGAAAACAATAGAGATCAAAATTTGAATGCACCACAATTGAGTCGAAAATAAAAGGCCTTCGTTAGCTAAAAAGGAAATTGCAGCTCGCGAGGAGGAAACTAAAATAAGGTCAAAATGTTACCTATATTCTACCGGATTTTACATCGAGGTTATCTATTATATTAGGTTATTGTAAGCCTATTGAAAGCTGCCCACTTGAGGCCTACATAATATGTATACGGTGTGGTAGAACACGTGCTCCTCTTAAGTATCACTGTGGTTCTAAAATCAAACTGAAGTTCATTGTTGTTTTTTATGAAGCGGAGAAATAAGTTACAACCTAAATATTTCTATGAGTTTTAATTTAAAAAAATGAAGTAAACAGGGAATTTTATTAAATAAATTATTAGATGGAGTTCAAATAATTTATCGTACGATTTCCTCTCGACTTTCTTTTTTTGCATGGTATCTGCATTTGTTCCTCAATCAATAGCTGTAGGTGTATATACGTCAGAGCATCCTTTTACTATTGGGTATACTCGTGATCGTTAATAAGAATGACTTATTTGCATATAATTTTAAATAAAATACGTAACTTACCTTCCTGAGGAAAGCTTCATTACAGGTTTGCGCAGTGCCCTTCCAATGGTGATGTCGAAATCTTACATTGCCTAGTAACTTTGCACCCTGTAGTATTGATACTTCATATACAATCCTTCGTATGTTGAGAACATCTGTACGTTTTTTGTATTTATTTAACTTTCTTCTACGTACTATACGCTCATCAGGTTCTGAATATTCGCCGGTACTTGTGAGTCCCTCTTCAGCAGCCCACGCACTAAGTACGCTTTCTATGAAACTAAACAACTGCTGTACATTTGGCTCCAGTTTGCTTGGTATGTAAAGATAAGGCGATACGGTTTTCTTTGGCGCTATTGACTTTTCTTCTGGTTCGTCTTCAGGCGGAGGTGCGACGTCATGATAGGGGCAATTGTGAACTTTGTGATGATGGTGGTGATGACGATGGTGATGGTGTCGGATCTGTTTGCGTTTTGATTCATTTTTTCCGCTACCGTTGCCGCCATCCCCTTTCTCAGTGGTTTCGCCGCCGCTCGAGTGGGAGTCGCCGCTGCGTTCGCGGCGCGGTTTGGGTCGTGCGTTGGACGCGAGCGCTACCAGAGCGCCGGCGGCGAGGCAACAGTGGTGTGCAACACAACAGAATCGTGCATCTCCTTTACGTAGACCCGTGTGAGCTTTGTGGCAGAAGGAAATGTCAGGCACTCGAGCGCCAAGCGCTGCGAGATGCGCACGGTCGGCGCATACTTGCATCAGGAGGTTTTCGCCGAAGTGCACGGTCTTGTGGCGGCGGCGGCGCAGATGCATGACGGTGCCGCTGCCGGCGAGCGAGGGCGGCGCGGAGGCCGAGGCGAGCTTACCGCGGGGCTCGGGCGCGCGCGCACATCGTGCCGGCGGCGCGCGGTGCGTCTCCACCATCATTGGCGAGGAGCGGCGTCAGCGGCCGGCGCGCGTGCGTCACCTCATCACGGGGCCGCCCCGATCCGCTGTCTCCCGCTCCCGCCTTAACACTTCCTTATTCCACGTTATCGTGTCACGTACGGCATATCACTTTTATTATTTGTTTCTTAGTTCAGTCATTGTGAATTTAGAGTCTCATAAGATTTTTGTGACGATAGTTTAAATTTTCTTTTATAACTAAACTGTTCTATTATGATTTAATAATTTTCTTTGCGCTGTAGTACAAATAATATAATTATGGCTTGTAAATAATATTCTAAACTTGAAAATAGACAAAAACAGCCAATTGTTGTGTTATTAAGACATTCTATGAACAGTGTAAAAATATGTAAAACATTTTTGCATACTGGGTTGTGCATTTCGTGTTATTTGGTGCAGATATGATGTTCCTCATTCAACAGATGTAGAGAACAAAAAAGCAAATACAATATAAACTGTAAATACAAAATCTTAGCAGTAATTTTTCCTAACAGTTCCCAAGAGTAATGCTTTCGTACTAAACTCTTAAAGATGTAAATAGATCGCGCCCCCACAGATACTTATGCAGGGCTAATTCCAGGCTAGAACTTAGTAAATTGGACAGTAAAAATATTTGTTAAAAGGTATAATATATTAATCAAAAAGTTCATTTCAGAGTGATATGTTTTAACTACTAACTATAAATTTGTGTGAAAACGATTGCACCATTCTAAAATAAATTCAAAAGTAAAGAGCAGTCACATGAATTTTCGTGAAAGTTAACTTAATAAATTATTAATAACTAAGTAATAAAGTACTAGGCGGTGGGTTTCTTCTCATTACTGAAAAAATTTCGTGGCAGAGAAGTATCCACCGCGATATCCCACCCCGGGTTGGTATTCTCGAAAACATTTTAATTTATCAGTTACTAGCTGGTATTGGGCGCGTTGCTACCGCAGAAAAAATAACCGTGGGAATAATTTAAATTTGGAATAGTTACATTGCTTAATAATGAATAATACATAATGATGATGTAATATAACATTCATATAAAGTTGTCAGTACGAAATCTGCGTTGCCTAGTGTAAGTATTATGCATATAACCTTTGCACAAGTGAAAGCTATAAGTTTTACAGCAGTCTGTTGAACGGTATGGCAACAAAAATTAATTTTTATATATTAGATGGTTTCACCATCAGACACGTGATAAATTAGAACCTAAAGTTGTGATTAATAGTTGCAATTGTGCCAGCCACGAAACTCGGGTTGTTTCTATACCATGCAACGTAGGTGAGCGTTTACCTCCTGACCTACCACTGCTACAGGTTGAGGCATAAAAATCATAAATAACGTGGGTGGACCATGGAAAACCATGCTCCTTCGAAGGCCAATTATTAAAATGTCATAGTTATTGCCATGTGATGACAAATTCCTTCTACGTACACAAACACTCATCGAACTGAAAATCACAGACGCGGCGGCGGATCGCTCGCGCTACTATTTTGGCATTACGGTCCCTCGCTTCATTGATTTCGGGAATCGACGATATTAAAATAAGGTGAGTGTACCATGGAAGGCCACTCTAACAAATAACAGTTATTATTCGTTTATATACTGGATGAATGAAACTAACAAATATTTAAGTAATACTTTGTTTTATTATGTAACATATAAACCACCTCTTTTTATTGTAGATTTAATGGCTATTTAGTAAACTTTAGTATTAAATGACTGCTTTATTATAATGGCCTTCTAAGAAGCCTTGTTCCTAGCAAGGCCATTTGAAAGAGTTAAATTACACTTAAGTTCAATCAATATTGATTAAATCTGCATTTTAGAAAAGTGGTTTATATGTTACGTAATAAAACAAAGTATTACTTAAATATTTGTTAGTTTCATTTATCCAGTAAATAAACCAATAATAACAGTTTATTTGTTGAAATGGCCTTCCATGGTACACCCACCTTGTATGACAACACATGTGTTAAATAAATTGTTATCTTGACTGTATAGTTAAAAGCAATATTACTGTTTTATTTAGTTTGATATTATTACATTTAATATTACAAACCAGAGAGGTACAAAGAAAAATATAAACAAGTTAACTATGATCAGTGTGGATAAGCGTTCTGCATTTGAAGTGGCTTGTTCAATGCAATGGACGTTAACAAGCTGTCACCAATTTTACGCAAAAAATAAATATACCACGAGATATTCCTACCGTAATATGTTGATTAGGATGAGAGGTATTAAAAAGCTGAGTATTTAAAAAATTTTGCATTATGGTATATTAAAATATGGTAAGAGGGATGTTCAATATTTAATTAAATTCTTTCAGTTAATAAGAAAATTCGAACTAATTTAATATTTAGGCTTTTTATTACAAATTTTTGGTAATATTTTTTATAAAAACTAGCGATCTGCCCCGGCTACGCACGGGTGATATCTGGATTATAAAACAGCGCCACCTACCGGGTCCAATTATGCCCATAAGGTTCGCTGACACCACAATCTGATGAACGGTATGGCAGCGCATAAATTATGAAAACACACACACACACACACACACACACACTTTATTTGTCTCAAACCTTTTAACAATTAAATGGAACCCTGGCTTCTAAAATAGTTGTAATAACTGTATCTTAAAAACCGGTGTCCAATAAATTATATATATATATATATATATATATATATATATATATATATATAGTGACAAAATATTTATTGATTAATTCATTCAACTTTTTCTATTTCGTCTCCGTATTTTTATAAGCTTTTGCCAAAGTTACGAACACGCTGAAGAACTACTCTTATGAATAATTAAGAGACGTTATTGGATGCAAGAAGTCGTAAAAAAGTAGCCAATTTTTATGGCACCATAGACAATAGGCAAAATGTAACATTTTTTTCTTACTTCCGACATAAAATATGCCCTCCACAAAACCGTTGTTGGCAATTGTTTGAAGTAGTAGGTATATATAATTTTCGTTATATTTGAGACAAATTGTAGTTTATATTGTGATTGATAAATTTCTTGTAGTTTCGGCACGTTTAAATTATGCTAACAGCTCGCTTTCCCAAGAGAAGTAGGGCGTGATGGAAGCATAGCGGCATCGTGTTTGGTCCGCCGTGACGTCACCGTCCCCGTGACTACGAAATGGCATAAATACACTGAAAATTATTACAGTCAGGTATGGACCTGGTAACTCGTATACGCAAATTGAATTATCCCTTGTGATAAAGCGAATCCATCTAACGAGATTGATTATTGATTATTATTTGCTGGAACATTTTTGCCGGTCAGATTACTTTGATATTCTCGTGACGGATTAATTTGTAAGAATTACGTTACGCATGTACTACGAATCACATTAACTGTATGTTGAGAGTTATTAAATAAACAATTCTGTAATAAGAGTATATAATATTATATTATAAATACATATCTGTAAGTGAAATCAATTACGTCATGGATATAATATGTCTAAAATTAATGAAAGGTATTACATTGTTATATGAATATAACAGCGATACCATTAACGGATGTAGGGATTAAAGATATGCTATTAATTAATTATTATTGGAACCGAGGCTCGGCGACGAAACAACTATTTTGCTTCAAATTAGCATATTATTAAACCAGCGTTGAATGTTACACTTCAAAGACCTGAAAACACTTATTGATGAAATAAGTTTTTGGTTGTTGTTCATTTAATTCTATTGAAGAGTACAATAAATAACAGTTCAATGTAAAATAAATAAAAGACAGGCCCGACAATAATGTACAAAGATTAGTATCGACCTTTGAAGGGCTACAGTAAAAATATTTTGTTATTTGCTTCAATATCTGTGACTATATTGAAATGAAGTAAAAAAATCTACTGCTGATAAAATTAAATTAAATTTAAAAATGTTAAATAAATTAAGTGGACAAATGCTCCAGTTGGGTCTAAAATAATTACAGAGAATTTAAATATCCTTTAAGACCAATTTTTCAACATCAAATAAAAGTTATTCATAGGATAAAATACAACATAAAAAAATTCAAATTTTTAGATGTAACTGCCTTGAAATGTAACATACAAACCACATAACACACAAACATAAACACTCACGCCTGTCACCCAGAGGGGTAGGCAGAGACTGCGGACTTCCATTTGGCACGATCCTGACACACCTCCCTCGCCTCCTCCACATCCATATACCTACGCATACATGCTAGTCGGCTAAGGGTACTTGAAATGTGTCATGAAATAAATAAAATAAAATTACGTAAGTAAACCAGTCCCTTACTATACTATGTTAATTTTTTTTGTTATAAATTATGCGTGCTTGGAATAGACATAAGCAGCTATCTTTTTGATACCCTAATATTAAGTCGCAATATAATGTTATATAATAAAATTAAATATTTGAATCGACGTAAAATCATCATAATCGCTATGAAATTTGAGTTATTTGTACCTTTAAAATCCTTCAGTTATTTTAAACATTAAATATGTTTAAGGTGAACTCAACATTTAATCATTGTTGTTGAAATTGTTTTAAACTAATATTGTAGGTACTAATATTTCAAATTTACCATAGAATTTTAACATTTCATACTTGTGTAATAATAGTGTTAATGCTATGTTGTTTTCAAGTGTTTATGGTTAATTAATCTTATAGTAATTTGGAAAATAAGTTTTTAAACCATTATCATGTTCTCTCCAAAGCACCTGTACAAAGGTTTATTTTTTATCATGTAAGTAATAAGCAAGAAATATACATCCTCAAATATATATATATATATATATATATATATTTACTCGTTCATAGCGATTGTGTGTTATAGGGTTGTAGATGTTTCTTTACGAATTATTTTTAGTCTTTCTTTTATGTTTCTTTAATTTATTTCATCGTTATTCGTAAAGAAGTAACGTAATGAATTTTCATTATTGTTCTTTGCCTGGTTTTATTAACGGTTGGACGAAAAAAGTCTACCAAAGATTTGTTTAGGA